AAAGTTTATCGGCTTGTTCCTGAATTGGATGTCTGGACAAATACAAACTGTTTTTTTCTAGTTTACATCTTGACATTTCTAAATTAACTTTTATCCTTTTTGAGTTAAAGAGGGGAAACACTCTTGGTTTGTACATGTGATGCTTTTAAGCTTGTTTTAATAGCCAAATTACATAGGGATTAATTATATGTTTCTTTATGGTCTAACTCTAATCATATGATATTCATTATCTTCAGTCACCATTATGATTATTACAGAGACAGGGATTATAAGAGAAGAAGTCATAGTAGGAGTTATGACCGGTTTGAACGTGATCGATATCATGAGAGAAACAGAGACTATCGGCGTAGAAGCAGGAGCCGCAGTGCAAGTCCTGGCTATTCTAAAGTTCGAGCAATAGGGCGGGATGAGCAGTAGAACAATGAGGTTTATATTTGTACTTCGTTCACATTTTAGAAAGTAATTTCCTCTATTTTCAAAATCTTTTTTGCTTCAGCTTTGTAACGATACCTTCTTTGTTTCTGTGCTGCTCCTGCTCACCGCAACCCTAGTCCTCGTAAAAGTCTTTCCCCACACAAGGCATCTCCCAGGGGTGAAAGTCCATAACGCAACTTTGATGGGCGGTCTCCAAGTTCTCGAAGTGTTTCACCACGAGGTCGTCTTGCTAATTCTCGTAGCCCATCTCCTCGGAACTCTGATGTTGATGTGAGTTTCACTTTCTAATGTATTATTTTTCCCTTCCCCTTTTTGTTCATTCTTTTTTAGTAAAATTACCTTCACAAGAACTTGTTCTAATTGTTTACCATTTACTTCTTCGATTTGAATTTTGTAGTAATGATCTTACGGATGGATTACTGGAGAGGCTTTAAGTAGCAAATTTCTGGTTGCTGGTCTTGAGGACATTCATATATCATGTGTTTCCTAGTGTTGGTAGGACTTTTTTTTGTGTTTTAATCAATTGTCCTAAACCTTCTCTTACTTAAGCAGTATTTTGGTGTCTAAACTTATGTAACGTCTAGCTTGATGTTTCAGTACCCACCGAAGATTTATTTATTTAACTTGGATGTTTGTAAACTTTGATTTATTTATGTTTTTATGTATTATTACTTAATTAGAATCGTAATGAAATTTAAGATGGTTATTGGATATTATTACAGGTTAAATTTGGGTAATACAAAATAGGAAGAAGATATATTGAAAATTAATTTCGATTAGCGTCGTTTTAGGGGAAAACGCCACTAACGGGGTGCATATTTGGCGGCGTTTGTATGAAAAAAACGCCATTATAGATTTAACCTATAGATCTGACCTTTTGCGGCGTTTGTTCCAAAAACGCCGCTATAGATCTAATCTTTTGCGGCTTTTGTATCCAAAAACGATACTATAGATCAGACCTTTTGCGGCGTTTGTTCAAAAAACGCCGCTATAGATCTGACCTTTTGCGGCGTTTGTTCTGAAAATGTCACTATAGATATCGACCTTTTGCGGCGTTTGTTCCGAAAACGCCGCTATAGGTCTCGACCTTTTGCGGCGATTGTTCAAAAAACGTCGCTATAGATCTCGACCTTTTGCGGCGTTTGTTCAAAAAACGTCGCTATAGATCTCGACATTTTGCGGTGTTTGTTCCAAAAACGCCGCGATATATCTTGACCTATTGCGGCGTTTTTTTGTTCTCAAACGCCACTAACTTTAGCGGCGCTGGTATGGCTGGTGCTTCTTGCGGCGTTTTTCCTATCGCGGCAAGTGCTTTTAGCGGCACTTAAAAACACCGCTATAGGACTAAAAAAACGCCGCTAAAACTCTGTTTTGATGTAGTGGATGTTAACTATGATGTTGATCGCGGTATACGACTCCTACGGGAAGCATATGATCGGGGAGTCATCGAGGCTACTTATGCTCTTGGTTTGCAGTTGATTTGTATGGAGCCTCGAGCTTCAAAAGGTTACCAAGTTTCTACAGAATCTCGATGCGATATATTTTTAAGAAGGCTTCAACATTATTACGCGATTTCGACGTGTGACTATACGTATGATTGCCGATATTCGGACAACACCGCAACTCGAACCACGGAAGAGGGTTTACTGTCCTTGTATCGATGATCCTAGGTGTTCGTATGATTTCAACATTATGAGGCGAAATATCTGACTGCATTAAAATTCATTTAAAGAGAGGGTAACACAAGGAAAAACAATTATAGAACCAGACAGCTGCTTCAACTTGATCTTCTCATTCTCTTCTATTTTTCTTCTACTTGTTTGGTTATTGGTTTCAAATACACCATTCTTAAAAATTTCTGGATTTTGGTGTTGAGTCCGACCAGATAAGGTGGTCGGAGAGGCAACCGAGGCAAAATCAAATATGGCAGCCTGGACTTTTTACGTAACTTTTTTAAATTAGTGATCAAAATTAAATAAAATTGAAATAACAGTAACCAAACTAATGGATCACCCAAGGTGATAATGTAGTTAAAATGTTATTTTGATTAAAAAACCAAATGTTAGGAGTTAGAATGTTCTAAAACAACACTAATCAGAATCTAGGGTAAACTACGCATTTAATATTTAATAATATTAGTTTTGGTCGGTTTTAGTACATAAATTATCAGTTTTAGTCTATTTTTAGTACATAAACTATCAGTTTTAGTCCGTTATTAATACCTAAACTTTAAAAAAAATCAAAACTGAACTTTAAATTTTGAACGGAAAATACTAAAATGAAAAAAACAAAACTTTAAGTATGATTTAAAAAAAATTAAAAGTTTAGGTACTAAAACGAACTAAAAATGATAATTTAGATACTAAATAGGCAATTTACCCTAGAATCTATCAAGTAACTTAGTAGTTTGAAAAAAATTCAATCTTTATTCCCGTTGTCCGTTTTGGTGGAGTTACATCTTGTTTCAAAGGGCATTGCCAATTAAAAGTTTTTTTAATCCGAAGTTGTTAAGGTTTGTTCTTGTGTTTAGCATGGAGAGATGGTTGGCATCGTTTTAGAAGGCTTTATTTTGTTTGATCATCTTGCGATGGAAGCTCATGTCTTTGAATAGGCGAGTTTGTTGATTTTTGAATAGTTTCAAATTGATTCTCCTAGAAAGATTTTAGTCTATTTTCCCCTCTGTAAATCGTTGCCGGTGGAGTATTGAAACAATGCTTTAGGGGTACCCTAATAAAGCCATTCGAATCAGTGCTTCAGGAAGTTTACTGTTGCTTCTCCTTTCCAATTGAAAACATAAGTTCTAATTTGGTCGCTGCTTATGATCCACATTTCACAATTAATATTCATTCTAGCAAGCTTTGATCTGGGTTTGCTCTTCAGTTCTATTGTGTTTGGTTCGTGTTTTGTGATGTGAATCTGGATATAAAGATTTATGGGATTTACAGTGGAGCTGGGTGAGTGGGTTCATAGTCTAATGTTGATGTCTTCTGAACTACTTTGGTATGGTGGTGTTAGTGTAGGTTGGGGCTTCATGGGAGTATTGTTTTTTGAACAAGATGATGCGATTGTGTCGATTAGTCTGCTGATATTTGTGCCGGAGGTAGGTGGGCCTGTTTCGTTGTTAAAGTGGATTGAAATTTTGTATTCGAGTCCTTGGAGGTGGCGGGTCTGTTTCGATGTGATCCATAAATTATTAATGCAATCTTCAGGAGTAAAGCTTGATTTCGTTCCTAGATTGGGTATTGGATTTACAGATCAATTGGCGAAACAAGAAATGCAAGCTGGAATGATGCTATGATCTTTCGTGGAAAGGTGTTGCTCTTCGGAGGTAGCTCGTTTTATTCAGGTTCTGTCAAGGCGTTTTACAGCTTTCTCTTGCCCTGTGTGCTCGTGATCTTTACGAGAGGATCGGATCTATGGGTGGTTTACATAATATGTTAATAGCAGGACTGGTGATAGTTGGATGGCTGTTGTGCTAGCTTAGCTGAAGAGGATGCTTTTAGGCTTTTGGGTTATGAAGTCCGTAATATGCTGGGATGTGTTTAGTATGGATGCCTTGTCATTTTGCTGTATGTGGTTCTTTTGTGCATCTCGGTGGTGTATTTTTACCTAATTAAGAGTATTCTTTTTTTTTTTTCGTTTAAGTTTCGGAGGTTTTTAACGAGGATCTTAATTTAGTTTTTTTTAATAAAATTAATTTTGTCGAGAAAAAAATAGCAATTTAAGAACACATAAGAACCATACAAGGAAAGATTAAAAATCTAACCAATAAACTCGACAAAGATAGATGCAAACAGATCTGATCGCATCGACAAACGAACCACAAAAGGGATTAAGCTATTGAAAGACCACCGACAAACTACAAATCAAATTCGAGCGACGTGAAAAATTATCCACAAACACAAATCGAGTATCTAAATACAATCAGAGGTACCAATATCATATCAACCTTTAGAAAAAATGATAAATGAAAAAAATAACCAAACGACTGAAAAACATCTCAAAAGACATAAAAAAGTGTCATAAAGATAAACTTATTAAAAAAAAGAAAATAAAGATGCAATATAAGAAAAAAAACGACAATAAAGAATATCGACGATCAACAATCAACATTAAAGTTGATGTCGTCGTCTATTAACAAAGATGAAAAAAAAAGAGAAGACCGACACCCTAATGAGAAAAAATTATATTTTTTTTTCTAAAAGTTTTAAATTTAAATAGTTACATACGTGAGTTTGTATACGATATTAATAATTAATTTTTTTTAAATAAATATCATATTATAATTATTTTAAAACTATTAAAATAAATAACTACCAATTATTTAATTTTAAATTTATATAAAAAATAATACTCTATTTTACCATTATATTATAGTGTTTCAAGCACAAGATAGCCGCTGAATTACCATGCTTTGTCTCCACGCCACCAGTTTTATTTTAAACTTTTAAAGGTCAAAACTTTGAATGCCTCATGATTCACGCCGTTGCCTTCTCCTCTCTCTCTCTCTCTCTCTCTCTATATATATATATATATATAGCCTCAATACCCTAGCAAGGAACTAGCAAAAGGAAACTAAAAGCAAGGTAAAGTTCACGACAATGGCGAGTTCAGGAGAGGTATCGTGGAAGTTAGAGGACCACCCAAAGCTTCCAAAGGGAAAGACCATCGCCGTCGTCGTTCTCGACGGCTGGGGTGAATATAAACCCGATCAATACAATTGTATCCATGTTGCCCAAACACCCACCATGGATTCCCTCAAACAGGTTATCTTTCTTTCTTTTCTTGTCTGTTTATATTTATGTTTTTAGATCTGGGATTTTCTATATTTTTGATTTGATAATCGTTGTCGATGATATTAATTGGTTTGGTATATAGATCTTATTCATTTATGCAAATATAACTTTCATCTTGTTTGAAAGCTTAATTTTTAGTTTTGGATTTATATTTTATCGGATTTTGATATTCCTATTTGTTTCTAGCTCTGTACATTTGAGTTAGATCCAGTTACACTGTGTAAAATTAATGAGTTTTACACTTATTTACAATCACAATCATTGGATTAAATCAGTAGCTGAGCTCTGGGCTTATTTTATCGGATTTTGATATTCCTATTTGTTTCTAGCTCTGTACATTTGAGTTAGATCCAGTTACACTGTGTAAAATTAATGAGTTTTACACTTATTTACAATCACAATCACAATCATTGGATTAAATCAGTAGCTGAGCTCTGGGCTTATGTTTTCACTACCCATATTTTCAGGCCCTAAATGTAATCTTATCCATTATTTATATTAATCCAATGATTGTAAATCAGCACTAGCTTTACACTATGTAACTGGATCCTATAGATATGTATATATGCATGTATGTAAGCTTGATTCCTTTAATTTAATTTTAAAATTATGAATCAAAATAACGCCAATAAATAATTAATTTAATTTAATTTTGTAGCTTATTATTACCATTTTGATTGTGTGATAAAATATGCAATTATTTTTTGTTATGTTATAAATTTATTGTACTCCTCTTTATACTTTTTTCTGCTATCTATCTATCTATATGTATATATGTATATATATATCCGTGTATATATGTATGTATGTAAGCTTGATTCCTTTAATTTGCGGGCACCATGAGGGTTGCTTTAAATTATGGGGATTTGTAAGTATTTTGCTTATGGACATTGTTGCAATCCTTTGATTCATAAAAGAACTACGGTATGCCATCATGTAATGAAGCTTAATTTGAGTGAAATTGACCTTGTTGAATAGGGTGCCCCAGAAAAATGGAGATTAATCAGAGCTCATGGAACTGCTGTAGGACTTCCAACAGAGGATGACATGGGAAACAGTGAAGTTGGTCACAATGCTCTCGGCGCAGGCCGCATTTTTGCTCAAGGGTAAGCTTATCTTCCTGATCTTAGCTTTATATATATATAGACGTGTATGTATGTTTATACCTATATGCTTGCTATCTTGTTGGCAAATTAACTGTGTTGCAGGTGTTCTAACATGTTAATTCATTGTGAACTGTAGGGCTAAGCTCGTTGATTTTGCTCTTGCCTCTGGTAAAATCTATGATGGGGAAGGATTCAAGTATATAAGTAAATCTTTTGAGAAGGGTACTCTTCACTTGATTGGATTACTTAGTGATGGAGGTGTTCACTCTCGGCTCGATCAGTTGCAGGTAATGTTTGGTGATTCCGGTTACTATCTTTTGAGGTTTGGCTTCTATAATGAATTCATTTTGTTTTCATAAGTTCAGTTATTAAATTTTATTTACCTTTTGATGCAGTTGTTGCTGAAGGGAGCTGGAGAGCGTGGTGCTAAAAGAATCCGTGTTCACATCCTCACTGATGGTCGAGATGTTTTGGATGGCTCAAGTGTAGGCTTTGTGGAGACTCTCGAGAGTGACCTCACAAACTTACGTGGGAAAGGTGTTGACGCCCGTATTGCGTCTGGTGGAGGTCGCATGTATGTCACAATGGACCGCTATGAGGTGAGAAATCATTTTCATAATTCTGAAAAGGATGTTGCACCAGCAATTTGCACTTGCTCTATTATCTCCTTTTTTTTCATTGATCTAAAAGATTTGTTTGAATTGATTAAGATGCTAAATTATGTGAGTGGATCTTTTGTAGAATGACTGGGATGTTGTGAAAAGAGGATGGGATGCTCAAGTTCTCGGTGAAGCCCCACACAAATTTACAAGTGCCGTTGAAGCTGTGAAGAAACTGAGGGAAAATGCCAATGACCAATACTTACCTCCCTTTGTCATTGTTGACGAGAACAAGGCTGTCGGACCAATAGTAGATGGTGATGCTGTTGTTACTATTAACTTCCGAGCAGATCGGATGGTTATGCTTGCTAAGGCACTTGAATATCAAGATTTTGACAAATTTGATCGTGTACGATTCCCTAAAATTCGTTATGCTGGAATGCTTCAATATGATGGTGAATTGAAGCTTCCGAGCCGCTACCTTGTTTCTCCTCCCGAGATCGATAGAACATCTGGTGAATATTTGGTGCATAACAGTATCCGTACATTTGCCTGCAGGTATGTTTAGGACAAGTCATTCTCATCCGCACTTCTGGTTTATTGGAATATTTGATATGTTAATTGCTTTCTTCGTTTATGGACAGTGAGACCGTAAAATTTGGCCATGTCACTTTCTTCTGGAATGGAAACCGCTCTGGGTGTTTCAAGCCTGAGATGGAGGAATATGTGGAAATTCCTAGTGATGTTGGCATTACATTCAATGTTCAACCTAAGATGAAAGCATTGGAGATCGGTGAAAAGGCTAGGGATGCTATTCTGAGTGGGAAATTTGAACAGGTGATGATAAATGGAATATTCTAAATAGGATTTTAATATTACTAAAGTTAATATATTTATTTAACACTGACTATTCTAACCATAACCAAAACCGAACCGATGTAAACGAACAACATTGGTTAAATCAGATTAATCGTATTTAACTATCTTTTGCTTAGCCTAGCTGAATGGTTTTTATATTGGTTTAGGTACGTGTGAACATACCAAACAGTGACATGGTGGGTCATACTGGAGATATCGAAGCTACGGTTGTGGCATGCAAGGCTGCTGATGATGCTGTCAAGGTATGATGGCTGAGTTCATTCTTTAATTGTTACCATGGAATTCTATTGATTTTACACCATTTTATGGATCATAATCAGTTTGCTTTGTTGCTAGTTAAAAAATGTATAAGATGAATTAGAATGCGGGTGTTTCTGAGCAGATGATTTTAACCGAGTTATCTATGTTTGACGTGTTTATCATCCATTATTGACACATACCGAAGCCATTTTATCGTCAAGTTGTATTTCATATCCAATTTTATTCTCAACCATAGCAACATTGTCTTGTACAAAGGCTTTTCTTACTCTACTTTTTGAATACAAAAAGGATTTTCTTGCTTGATTATATTGTTCGGTGCAGATGATCCTCGATGCTATCGAGAAAGTTGGAGGAATATATGTTGTGACAGCAGACCACGGCAATGCCGAAGACATGGTGAAAAGGAATAAATCTGGAGAACCTCTCAAGGACAAGGAGGGAAACCTCCAAATACTCACCTCCCACACTTGTCAACCAGTAAGTTTCCGAAATCTTTATTTAATAAATACTGGGTTTGTGAAGAAAAATGAATGGTCGCATTACCAAAATTTATATTCCCTTTTGATGGGTCGAAAGCTGTGCAATATCTGATGTATGTTATGGATGTTCTGGTTAGGTGCCTATTGCGATTGGAGGTCCGGGATTGGCACCCGGTGTTAGATTCCGCAATGACGTCCCTGATGGCGGACTTGCGAACGTGGCTGCAACCGTCATGAATCTTCATGGTTATGTAGCTCCCGACGACTATGAGCCAACACTCATCGAAGTTGTCGGGAACTAGGCTCGGCAATAGAACATTGCCTACATTTTTATATTCGCACTATTTTCGCAAGGCCGGTACCCAAACATCGATTTGGGAAGAAACAAAGTGGTTTAAATGTTATATTTTGGTAGACATTTGTGGCTGAGTTTTTTTCCATTGCTGTACGCTTAAGAAGTGACCTCATAATTTTCCCTTTTCATGGGGCAAAGGAGATTATTAGCTTTCTTTACTTGTATCTTTTAATTCTTTATTACATATTATATGTTTTTTTATTCAAATATTTGATTAAGATGAGATTTTTGTTGTAAATAATATAAATCCTAACATTAAATTTTAAATCCTAAAGTTTAAACTATCATTTCGCGCTTTTACCTGGAACATACACTCGCTCAAAATGGAATGCTCCGTCGAAGAAAAGGCTAAAGCTGTTAATGAAGTCTTTTTTAAATTAAGTCTAGTTTATGAAATCGAATCTAGTGTGTTAATAAAGTTTCTGTTTAAATTTAAGGGTAAAATATATAAATAGTGCCTGAACTTTTAGGGCATTTGTATTTTGATCACCCAGCTTTTGAAACTTACAATACAATCATCAAATTTTAGTTCATTTCATTTTGGTCACTACCGTTACCTCCCGTTATCTTTGGCTGAAGTTTCACTTAACCCCGTTAACTCCCTCCTCTTCTTCAACCCTCTGCTAAAATCATTTCCAAATTTTAAAAAGAGAAAATCGCCTCAGTGACCAAAAATGCCTTATAATATACGATTTTAACCAACTTTTTTTGGATTTGCCAAAATGACCAACAAAATCGCAACGCGAAATAACAATCGCAACGCGATCCCCAGAATCGCAAATCAGTTTCCAAAATCGCAACGCGATTCTTGACAATCGCAATGCGATTTTCATATTCGCATTGCGATTTTCCAGAATCGCAACGCGAATATGAAAATCGCAACGCGAACACATAAATCGCAACGCGTATCCGTAAATCGCAACGTGTATCCGTAAATCGCAACGCGTATCCGTAAATCGCAATGCGTATCCGTATATCGCAACGCGTATCCGTAAATCGCAACGCGATTTTTAAAGCGCCATTATAATCTCTACGCGTATTTTATTTTCAAATTACAAAAACGAATATTAAGACAAAATCCCGTAATCGCAACTCATAACCTAAAAACCTAAAATCACAACTCAGTCCCATCTCCATCTCTCACTCTCTACGACGAAATCAGTCCCCATCTCCGAAGATTTCCGTCCCCATCTCCGGCGAAATCCCTCACAACCATTCACGGTCAGAAATCCCTCACAATATTCAGAAATGGAAAATCAACCTCCGAGGGTTAGTTTTTTTAATTATTTTTATTTTAAAATTTTTGCATTATTGTAGGTTTTTCATATTGAAACTGATGATAAGTTTACTGGTCATTTCAATAATAGATTAACCATTTCACTTAGATTTCATTTCGCGTTACGATTCTCTCGTTGCGATTTTCATTTCGCGTTGCTATTCTCTCGTTGCGATTTTCAAGTTAGTATTTGTCTTTGTCTTTGTTCTGTCTTTTGGTTGAAGTAATGCAATCCATTCAAGTTTCAATTTGCAGAAGAGTCGCAACGAGATAAATGAAAATCGCAACGTGAAAATGACTATCTGCAACGAGAAAAATGAAAATCGCAACGAGAGAATCGCAACGCGAAATGAAAATCGCAACGAGAGAATCGCAACGCGAAACAAAAATCGCATTGCGATTTTCATTTCGCGTTGCGATTCTCTCGTTGCGATTTTAATTTCGCGTTGCGATTCTCTCGTTGCGATTTTCATTTCTCTCGTTGCGACAGTCATTCTCTCGTTGCGATTTTCATTTCAACCAAAAGACAAAACAATGTTGCAAATTTAGTTTCAAGAATAAACTACTACTTTTTATGTTTATTGTTTTTGGTATATCTTCACAGTGTAGTTTTTGGTATATCTAACTTGGTATGTTTATTGTTTTTGTAGAAATTTTTTTCGGCTTCATTGACATTAAGGAATAAAGTTAGCCTAGCCACTACAATTGCTTCGAAGCTTTCACCTGCACAAAGACAATTGTTTGAGGAAACCTGCTTCGGGCCATGGCTGAGAGTACAGCATCCGGGTGGAGATGCTAATTTGACCCATTTGTGGCTTCAGACCATGACATCAAATCTACCCGACAGTATACAACGTGGTGAGGAAGAGATATGGTTTCATTTTCCACCAGCGTATACTTGTTTTGGGCGGAAGGAGTTCTGCTTAATCACTGGTCTACGATTCGGACACGATGATGTAGGCCGGTACACTCGTCATATCGCCCGCCCATCATGGTTATCCCGGGTTTTTCCGGATGAGTCAATGGAGAAGCCGAACCTTCACGTCGACGACCTGAAGAAATTATTTAATAAGAAAGCTGGTTTCACTCGGATGGATGACGTCGATGTTGTCCGAGTATGCCTTCTACTACTTGTGTATGCCGGCTTTTTAGGCAGAGAGGCCAGACAACCTATTCCTCGGGAGCTAATAATATTGGTAGAGGACCTGAATGCATGGAATCTGTTTCCGTGGGGTTCGTATATATGGAAAGCTACCTGGACTAAGTTGTCTACTGCCTTTGATGACCGCAAAAGTTTGCGTGGCGATGGGTCGAAATACACTTTGTCAGGCTTTGTTTGGGCCTTTAAGGTAAGAATTTCTATATAATGTTTCTAAAATTATAATTAATTATTTAACAATTACTAATTTTGTTATTATATTGTTTGTAGATTTGGATATTCGAGGCTTTCCCCAGCATGCGTACATATGCAATAAAAACGTCAAATGATATTCCCAGGGCTATTTCCTGGAAGAGGAAAAATCTGTTGGATTGGGAAGACTTAATACCATATGCGACAATAAATAATGTAAGTTAACACAAATACTTTCATATAATATATAAACAAGTTATTAATAGTAGACGTTTAACTTTGTTTGAGTTTTTATATTGTTAGGAGGCCAACATTCCATTACAAAGACTGACACCCACGGAGGAAGAGCTTGCCACTGATTGGTGGCAAGCTAGTCAGAGTTTTTTTGATGGCACGGATGATGAGCAACATCCACTTCCTCCAATTCGAGAGCCATCACCTCACCCAGAGCCATCACCCGATCGACCCGACTATACACCTCTAGAACGAGAGCCATCACCTATCCCGTCACATCATCGAGCCTCTTCTCCACCATCACCTCATGATAGGCGACCGGTAAATAGGCCACGACATTTATCTCCTTGTTCTCCACCTCCACGGGATGAGTTACGTGATGAGGTCAATGCCTTGCGTGAGGAGATCGGTACTCTACACGATAACGATGGTGCATGGCGTGTGGAGGTGTCAACTTTACGTGGTGAGGTTGTCGCTCTACGTGAGATGATAGTATCGTTGCAGAATGAGGTTCATACTCTACGTAACGAGGTAAGTTTAAGATTTTCCATATTTAACTTAATGATAAATTTACTCGTAATTTCACTTAGATTAGCCATTTCACTTAGATTGCTTAGTAAATTTATTCGGTTGCTGCCAATTCTGCTAAACTGTGTATTCTTTAACACTGTGAAATAGTATTTGTCTTTGTTTTGTCTTTTGGTTGAAAGTAAATTTGTTCGGTTGCTGCCAATTCTGCTAAACTGTGTATTCTTTAACACTGTGAAATAGTATTTGTCTTTGTTTTGTCTTTTGGTTGAAAGTAAATTTGTTCGGTTGCTGCCAATTCTGCTAAACTGTGTATTCTTTAACACTGTGAAATAGTATTTGTCTTTGTTTTGTCTTTTGGTTGAAAGTAAATTTGTTCGGTTGCTGCCAATTCTGCTAAACTGTGTATTCTTTAACACTGTGAAATAGTATTTGTCTTTGTTTTGTCTTTTGGTTGAAAGTAAATTTGTTCGGTTGCTGCCAATTCTGCTAAACTAATACCCTGAAGTCAGTATTTGTCTTTGTTTTGTCTATTGGTTGAAGTAATGCAATCCATTCAAATTTCAATTTGCAGAAGAAGAAATAGTTTACTTTCGCAACACGAAACTTAAAATCGCAACGAGAGAATCGCAACGCGAAATGAAAATCGCAACGACAGAATCGCAACGCGAAACCAAAATCGCAACGACAAAATCGCAACGCGAAACCAAAATCGCATTGCGATTTTCATTTCGCGTTGCGATTCTCTCGTTGCGATTTTGGTTTCGCGTTGCGATTCTGTCGTTGCGATTTTCATTTCGCGTTGCGATTTTGGTTTCGCGTTGCGATTTTGGTTTCTCGTTGCGATTCTCATTTCGCGTTGCGATTTTAAGTTTCGTGTTGCGAAAGTAAACTATTTCTTCTTCTGCAAATTGAAACTTGAATGGATTGCATTACTTCAACCAATAGACAAAACAAAGACAAATACTAACTTCAGGGTATTAGTTTGAAACATATTTTTCTTTGTTATCTGATGCATTTTGTGAACTATGATAGAATAATGACTTGGGTGAATACAATGCAAGTTTGAAACATATTTGTCTTTGTTTTCACTGTTTAAATATCATGTCTGTTTATTTACTGATTTTTGTATTTAATTATTTAGCGGCCCGATAGAGTGGATGCTTTACGTCGGGTTATGCTTGCACGACGGAGTTCACGCATCAGACAGCGTGCACGTGCTATTAAGTCTCCGTACACCCCAATAGTGCGAAGACACCGCAAGAAGAAGCCTGACTCGCCTGTCATCCCTCAAGAGTCCACTCCTATCGTTGAAGAGGCCCCCCTATCATTCCTCGAGAGTCCACTCCCACCGTTCAAGAGGCCACTGTCATCATTGAAGAGGTCCCTCCCACCATTCAAGAGCCCGATTTACATGGCGTCATATGTAGGCTTCTTGAGAAACCCTCTGACGTGCCGGACATGATGGATTCAAGTTGGCTCTCGTATGAGTTACCGGCCAGTACCATACCGGTATCTGAAGAGGAGAGGAAACAACTACCGGACACAATTCTGGATAACACCCTTTGGGCTAAGACCGCAGTTGATTTTTATCTACATGAGCGGAGCCAGGGGTGTTTCACTGACATATGCAAGCTCACCGATGATATCTATTTGTTGCTTGATCGGTCTTGGTGGGGCGTATTATTAGGGGTCGAAGAGAATGGCTATTTCGATGGGGGGTAAGTCTTATATTTTTCTTATATTTCAAT